CAAATAAAACCAGACAGTTTGACAAGTGAATTCTACCAAACATTTAAAGAAGAATCAATATCTACTAGTATAGTTCTTAAATGATTTCCAAAAAAATCCAAGAGGAAGAATTGCTTCTGAACTAATTCTATGAAGCCAATATCACCTCAATACCAAAATCAGACAAAGACAGGAAAAGAAACCATCAACAAAACAAAAAGACAAACCACTGAATGAAAATGATATTCACAAATAATATATCTGACAAGGGGTTAATATCCAAAATATCTAAGGAACTCATACAATTTTCCAAAAGGTTTCAGGTTCAATTCCCAGTCAGGGTGTGTATAGGAGGCAATTGATCAATGTTTCTCTCTCAACAATCTCTCTCTCTCTCTCTCTCTCTCTCTCTCTCTCTCTCTCTCTCTCTCTCTCTCTCCCCCTCCCTCCCTCTCTCCCTCCCTTTCTCTAAAATCAATAAAAAGCATGGTGTTTTCTTTGCCTCGAGTGAGGAAAAGAAAATGGGCAGAGGACCTAAAAAACATTTCTCCAGAGGACGTACAGATGTTCAAAAACATACGAAAAGATGCTCAACATCACTAATCATCAGAGAAGTGCAAATCAAAACCACAATAAGAAGTTACCTTTCACCTGTCAGAATGACTATCATCAAAAAACCAACAAATACCAAGTGCTGGTGAAGATGCGAAGAAAAGGGAGCCCTACTACACCATTGATGGGATTGTAAATTGGTGCAGCCACGATGGGAAACAGTATGGAGGTTCCTCAAAAAATTAAAAATAGAGCTGCCATACAACCCAGAAATTTCAGTTTGTGTACTTACTGGAAGAAAGCAAAAACACTAATTTGGAAAGATTTAGGCACCCCAATGTTCAATGCAGCATTATTTACCACAGCCAAGATATGGAAACAACCTAGGTATCCGTCAATGGGTAAATGGATAAAAATGATATAAATACATATGTCAGAATGCCATATATATATATACACATATATATGAATATAGACATATACATTGGAATATTACTCAGCAGTAAAAACGAATGAAATCTTGCCATTTGTAACAACATGATGGACCTATAGTATATTGTGCTAAGTGAAATAAGTCAAAGACAAATACCATATGTCTTCCCTTATATGTAGAATCGAAAACAAAACAAATGAATAAACAAAACAGAAGCAGATCCACAGATCTAGAGGACAAGCTGATGGTTGTCAAAGGATGAATGGGTGAAATAATTTTTTTTAAAAAAAGTATGCAAAGGATACATTCGACATTCACATTAGTGGCCATGTCTGACAGAATGCAGGCACAAGATTGGGAAAGACACATAAAAGAGTTGGACATACTGATCAAGGTCTGCTCCTCGAGTGGGGTGTACGTGACTATTCACTTCATTATAATTCTTTAGATCTCATTTAGGTTAAATATATGCATACATATATGACCTTTATGTTATCTATAACATGTATGCCTTTCAAGTGGACATTTGATCCTCATTACCCATGGATTCCACATTTTTGAACGTGTCCACTCACTAAAATTCATTTTAATTCCAAAATCCATCCTTCTAGAGCTTTTGTGGTCACCACGGGCCTGTGCGGTGGAAAATCTGAGTCGCCGGACCAACACTTGGCCAGCTGCCGCTGAGCAAGGCAAGGCTCTAGCTCCTTCTGTCAGCTCCCAAACTGTAAATCATTTTCACAGTCTATTGTGACACACTTTTCAGCATCTTTGTGCTTTTTTTGTCATTCCCACTGCTCGAGTGGCTGCAGTGCTGTCCAGTGGACACGAGAACAAGAAGGCCGGGCGGGCGTCACGGAGGAAATCCACGTGTTAGATGCGCTCCATGCAGGTGTGAGTGACAGCACTGCCGGCGGGGAGTTCAATGTCAGTGAATCAACGATATGTACTAAACAAGGGCATATTATTTCATAAGTACATATCATATCTTCAAACATGAGCACACAGAAGGCAGTATGTGGATCAAATGATGAAAACGAGACCGAAACATGGCCAGAGGCTTGAAGAAACCTAACCCTGTGTTTGTAACGAGGAGCAGTGGTCCAGTATTCACTAATTCAATGTTTGTGGCAGCTTGATAGAATATAGTTATAGCAAACAATGAGAGTACAAGGAATAATAAAATATACTTATTTTTGTGTCGTACATAAAATGAATATCAAACATACAAATTGTATGTTGTATACATATACAACAGTTTCATATATATTCTTTTACATTTTATAAGATATATGATATATATAAAAATATAAAATGTAAATAAATATAAAATACTTCCTAATAAAAATGAAAAAGGGGGAAATCAACATGTAGAGGATGTATTCACTAGCAAAATATACATAGATACAAATTTACATGTACATATTAATCGGCTTCTATGCATAGATTATCTCTGGAAGGATAGAAATGAAATAGAAACGTGGTTAACACGGAGGAAAGTGATACTAAGAAAGACTTACATCCCATTATATACCTGAATTTTATAACAGATGTATTTTTTAAGGTGTTTAATTGGCTTTTAAAGAGAGAGGAAGGGGGCAGGAGAGACAAACATGGGCGTAAGAGTGACACATGTGCAAACATAAAATCGCGTACGTCGGCGTAAACTGGAGCTAGCTAAGGTATAGGGGCTCGGATTAAACACTTAAATGGAACACTTAGGCATCAGTTGTAGTTGCCGCACAAGGACTTCCCAAAATGTTGCAGAGCGGTACCCTTGACCTTCCTCACTTTCCTTAAATGGCGGAAGCTCAGGAAATTGATGTTTGCCCATGCCAACCCCCCTCCCCCAAAATGTCCCATCCTCGAACAGGTCGCACTCTAACGACTCCCTCCTCCTCTCTGAAACTCTTCCGAGCTCTGGCTTCCGTTACAACAGCCTCTCTTGGTTTTCCTCTGACCTCTCTTCTCGAAATGCTAACACCTGTGGGGATGTCTCTGTCCATCCTGATGATGTCATTCTCCCCCAGAATTCCCAGGTGACCACACCCACTCAGCAATCACATTATTGTATGAGGCCCAATCCTCCATCGAGAGATTCCATCTGGGTTTCAAAATGTAACTTTGTGCCCTGACCGGTTTGGCTCAGTGGATAGAGCGTCGGCCTGCGGACTGAAGGGTCCCGGGTTCGATTCCGGTCACGGGCATGTACCTTGGTCGCAAGCACATTCCCAGTAGGGGTGTGCAGGAGGCAGCTGATCGATGTTTCTCTCTCATCGATATTTCTGACTCTCTATCCCTCTCCCTTCCTCTCTGTAAAAAATTAATAAAATATATCTTTTAAAAAAATGTAACTTTGCTATTCATGCAAAAGATGACTAAGATATAGTTATACAGAAGATTTCAGTGCCAGGTCTCCAAAATACAGATGGCAAAGATTAGATAATAAACCATAAATAATGTGAACAACTATATGGGTGACACTCGCCAACATTGTAGATGTGAAATCCAGCAAATTGTTGACTTCTTCTTTTTTAAATGAATCATAGCATTAGGGCTCCTTTCTTCCCACAAACAACAACAAAATTCCATACCTACATAGTTTTCTCAAATGACATGTTCTTGATGCTAAAACCACATTGAATGGAAAAAGCAAGACTCATTTTTATTCACCGTTAAGAGTGGAGCGAGCGTACAGGGTCCTCTAATATGTAACTACAGGGCTGTGATTCCAGTCAAAGGACTATGTGGGAATCAGTGGGTAGATTTTCCACTCCGAGTCATGAGGACCCGAAAATCTGGAAATGACAGCCACTCTGATTTATGAATCCCTTTCATATTCTGTTTCGTGTTTCATGTTCCCTTTCGGTCATCATGATTTTATTAAATGACTAAATGGTCTTTTCCTATCTAAAAAAAAAAAAAAAAAAAAAGCTATTCTTAATGTTTAATCAACTTCCAGCATGCCTCATTCATTGTAAATCATCATTAATGACACTTAACGTATAAAAACCAGGCTGAAGAGAGGATGAATTGGTACGCAGACCCAGACTCACACCATGTCGGCCTCTACGAGAATTCCTGAACAGCGACAACTGTCCCCAAGCATGACATGTCACCAATCTGATCTCCAGAAGAGATGGAACGTTCCAAGGATGAAAGGTTTTGAGTAGCGAACGCATGGAAATAATTGTAAGTTTCGGTGACTTCAAACAGCGAGACTTTTAACACATTTTTTCCTCTTTAAACAAATTGTTTCTTTAACATCTTCTGAAATTTCTCACCCCTGCTTAACTCAAAGGAATATAGGAAAAGCCAGTGAGATAATATTGGGTTTTTTAAGCTCTTTGAAAAAAAAAAAAAAAAAGGTTTTAAATATCCAGAGAAATTTGTACATACTTTATTTTAAAAACTGCATATAATGTTTTGAAGATCTGAAAAACATCAATATACTTGGCTTTTGGATGCAATATTTTGACAAACCAAATAAATGCCAGGATGAAGTGAGGTCATAACCCTAGCGAAGGACATGTAATTTTCTATCAAAAAAGTACCATCCCGGCCAGCGTGGCTCAGTGGCTGAGCATCAACCAGGAGGTCACAGTTCAATTCCTAGTCAAGGTCACATGCCCGGGTTGTGGGCTCCATCCCCGGTAGGGGGTGTGCAGGAGGCAGCCGATCCATGATTCTCTCTCATCATTGATGTCTCTCTCTCTCTCTCTCCCTCCCTTCCTCTCTGAAATCCATTTAAAAAGCATATAACAATTTTTAAGTCTTTCAAAATATAAGCTATTTCACCAATAGCTATTGTATTCCTCATCATGAGAGAACAATGATAATAATGAACTTGATTCACAAAGCAGCAGGCTGAGCAAATGCGAGACTCTTGCCACTGAATGACTCAGGGTCAAACAGTGTGTTTCTCTGGGCTGTCGATCCCTTTGAAACCAGTGCGTGTTTGTCTCACGCCTCCTTGCCCTCTGCTGACGTGGGAGGACACGCAAGCCCCCCCGCACCCCCACAACCCGGCGTGTACCTTGGATGATGAACCGCTCCATGTTCTCCTTGAAGGGCTGGACATGCTCCTCGGGGGACACCTGGTACACTTTCCCCGCCTCCACCTCGCAGGCTGCAATCAGAGAGACATGCTGCTTAGGGCGCCGTCGATGGAGCATCCAAACCACCTCAAAACCTCATAAAGCCAGACTGTCCTGTCAACCACCCTAACGGACATATGTCCTACACGTACGTTGGAAACACCAAATGCTGACATGACAAGTCTATAAGCAAGGCTTCGTGAGGAGACTGTGAAAAGACATCCGTAAGAGTTGGTGACTCCAGCCCAGCCGGTGTGGCTCAGTGGTTGAGCATCGACCTATGAACCAGGAGGTCACGGTTCCATTCCTGGTCAACGGCACAGGCCCGGGTTGCCGGCTTGATCCCCAGTGTGGGCTGTGCAGGAGGCAGCCGATCCATGACTCTCTCTCATCACTGATGTTTCTATCTCTCTCTCTCCCTCTCGCTTCCTCTCTGAAATCAATAAAAATATACATTTTTTAAAAAGAGTCTGTGAGTCCAGTTCGGTCATTTCCACAGTGTCACCTGGGCAAGATACATAACTCTGAGCCTCCGTCGCATCAGGAGAAGGGAGGACCCAGGCCTGCCTCTCAGTGTTGTTATGAGGATCAAATCAGTGAAGAGATGGAAAGTGTCCCAATAGTGTGCCCAGCATTTCCTATCATCATCACTGTCGTTATTATCCACTAACTCCTAAAACAGGCTTATTCCCAAGTTCACATTTCTGAAAGCAGGGGGCTACTTGTCAGAAACACGGCAGCGAGATGGCGAGGAGGGGCTAGCCGTCAACTTCCTTTAGGATGGATCACTTAGGGCAGCCCCGTGTAGTCGGAAATTCTGTGCCCCTTCATGTCTACAGATGGATAATCAGGATATACTTAATCATATCCTAAATGGATGAGTTTTCTAAACATATATACATTCCTATATTAGAGGGGAAACGGTGCATCAGTGAAAGGAAATAAGGCAGGTTATCAGCCCTTCTAATCGTTTTGGTGAATTCTTTCTGGCAAAATCACATGAAGAAATAGACCCAAAGGCCTTTGAGTAGCTTCTAATTGCTACCCAATCTACTCCTCTAAGGCAGCGGTCGCTAACCTTTTGGACCTCACAGACCACCAGTGGTCCACAGACCACCGGTTGGCGACCACTGCTCTAAGACACAGATATGGACTGACTACCTACTGTGTTCAAGGTCCCTCTCCAGGCACTATGATTACTGCCACAAACAGAAGAGAACTGGCCTGAAAAAAATCCCTGCCACAGGGAGCTTGCCTTGTCCTATACTAGAGGCCCAATGCATGAAATTTGTGCAAGGGGCTCAGCCCTCACAGCCCCGGCTTCGTCCAGAAGGTCGTCTGGAAGGTTGTTTGGCTATCCGGTCTAATTAGCATATTATGCTTTTATTATTTATAGATGGTTTTTCATTAATTCTTTTTCCATCACAATGAGAAAAGTACAATACTAGTAGGCTAGTATCTAGTAGATTAGGCCAGCATGGGGACGGGAGGGGTGGGGGAAGGATGGGAGGGAGAGGAAAAATCCAATTTCTCACCTGGTCTGATTTTCAGACCTTAGAAACCTGAGTCAAGAAAGATTAATATTTTGACTGTTAGTGATGATTGTTCAATTTCACACTTTTTATTAGAAAATGGAAGTAATGCCTGTCCCCTTCTTCTTGATGCTGTAGCTTGCCTGGAGGTCTACGCAGCCATAAGAACACCCTCCCACCAGCAGCCTGCACAAGGTCATCTAATGGGCCTGGTGCCTGAGAGGGGGAGGTCATTGGTTAGGAAAGCAGAGATGGGCCACAGTCTAACCATGACCAAGTCTTCTCAATTGGACCACGTCTGCAGTCTGCATTTTTACTCAGCAACGTTTAAACAACAGAAGACACAGCAGATAAGAAGGGGTAACATATTTTTAAATGAGGGGAAATTATATTTTCAATTACATTTTGGCTCTTATAAACTGTATTCTTAATATAAACGCAAGCAAACGCTATCTTTTCTATTGCTTCTATCTTTCCCCCTCTACTTAGGGTCGATTTCCTTACACACAAGGGGAACCAAGAGGCGTTTTAGATCCAGAAAAACTCTCAGTCATTTACTGGCAACATCATCTCACTTCCTGTCCTCCTTCCGGAAGCCATAGAAGATGCTTGTCACGGATCTCAGAGTTTCGAGTGATGGCCATTCCTATCTCTCCAGGCATCTTTTCCCTCAATGAGCTGCTGTCATGATTAGAATCCTCAACTCTACCCTGAGCAGAAACCCCTCTGTCTCTCTGCACGGTCTCCCTGTGGAATGACATGTCTGGAGTTTGCTTTTCAAATAGCTCTGATAGAATCACCACAGATAGTCCAGATCTGCAGTGAGTCACAGAATTCCAGTCTCTCAGAGGACAGATGAGGCCCCTCCACTCCTATCATTCTTTATTTACTCGCTCCCCCACTCTTTCTGCTAGGACTTAAAACATTCGCTGGCAGGCAACAGGCATTCAACAATTACCTGTGGAATGAATAGAAAAGGGAATTGGATTCTCCTGTCAATACGAGCCCCTTATTAATCTGGAAATGGCCTCTCTATTGGAAAGTCCCCAGGCCTTGTACATGCTAGTCATCCCCCTCACATACTCTTATCCCCTTATGATCAATGGTTGAACTTTGATTTGTCCATCCATACACAACTATCTCAGCAAGGTTCACCCATCACCAATCCCCCAACCCCTGAACTTTGTATGTCCCTCTTCCACAGAGCCTGTGTGAAAGATATAAGATAAAAGGAGAGGTTCAAACAAAATAGATCTGCATTCAGGCCTGGTTCTACTAGTAGCTACGTGGTCTTGAGCTAGTCCTTAGATTATCTGAGCCCCAACTTCCTTAACTAGAAATCGGGCTGATGAAGGCCGGGCGCCTGAGCACTAAGCACTGAGTTGATGGGTAAGAAGTCTTCAAAAAATGATAGCTACTAATGATGTTATCTTATTGCATTTACTGCTGACATGTACCTATCTCTGATTATAATTTGCATTCCCTGAGGCCACCTCTGTGTGCCCAGTGTTTGAAATTCAGAGGAAGCACTAAAACCTTGTGTGGAAATAAGTACTTTCAACTATGTCAACGACCACGACTTTCCTTAATCTGGACATTAAGCCTCCAGCGGTGGGTGACAGATAACAGCGTGTAAATCTTAACCCAAGTGCCCCCAATCCCAACCCAGATGACTAAAGCTCTTCACTGTGATATAAAATGTGCACAATTATTTGTGGGTGGCTGTTGCCTTATTCATTATATTCAGAAGGAAAAACCTGTTGGATAACTAGAGAAACAAAATGTCAAGCTCTAGAGTCTGTACAGACTTGTATATGCGCACTTCTTATAGACATACTTATATATTCAATGATATACTAGTATATCAATATGTTGCATAAGGAAATTTATAAGATTGGACCCCATTCTTCACCTAACTATAGTGCATTTTGGTGCATAACATCATCCTATTATCATCTTCAAAACTGGTGACTATGTGGATTTTTTTTTTAAATACCAACCACCGTGCTCTCACCAACTTAAAGGGTCATTTAGTCACATTATTAAAAACATAACATGAGACAGAGTTCCTGGAAAATTGCATTACAGTCAAATCCAAATATTTTTCTTAAAATCTGTTAAAGGCAGTTGGCACAACTGAGTAATTCCAACCATGTAGGCTTTTGTTTAATTTAAAGGCCTTCCTGATCCAAAAAGGTTTTATATTGTGTAAAAGGGCGAACCGTGGAAAGCATGAGTGAGGCTCTCAAATACAAAGACAAATCTAGCCAGAGGAGAGGATGAACAAAAGTCTCTCTGGTGTTTCCACTGGAAAAGGGGTTCCAATCCCCAGACTGGCAGGTCGGGGGCACAGCCAACATCATCTTATCACCATCCGATTAAAATAAGGGTGTCACACACCACTCTCGGAAATGAGCCCTGATCAGAGGTTCTGGGGTGTGTGTTTTTAGGAAACTGGAATATTCCCGCTGTAACTTCTATGTCTCCACACTCCATCAATCAATCAATGTTGCCTATTTTCGAGTCACTGCTTTTCTGTGAGCTTCCAGAAGGTTTTACCGGCCTCCATAAACCTGCCTCGTCAAGTTTGAAGGAAGCCACGTCACAGACACAAAGAACAAAGAAGGTTGATTAGATCAGAAACTCTTCTTTACAAGACCCAATGGTTTCTCATGTCAGCGTGCGTTGGACATGACACTGGAGTGGCTTTTAAGAAACAGAAACCATGCCCTGACCGGTTTGGCTCAGCGGATAGAGCGTCGGCCTGCGGACTGAAGGGTCCCAGGTTCGATTCCGGTCAAGGGCATGTACCTTGGTTGCGGGTACATCCCCAGTGCGGGGTGTGCAAGAAGCAGCTGATCGATGTTTCTCATCGATATTCCTAACTCTCTGTCCCTCTCCCTTCCTCTCTATAAAAAATCAATGAAGCCAAAACCGGTTTGGCTCAGTGGATGGAGCGTCGGCCTGCGGACTGAAGGGTCCCGGGTTCTATTCCGGTCAAGGGCATGTGCCTTGGTTGCGGGCATATCCCTGGTGGGGGATGTGCAGGAGGCAGCCGATCGATGTTTCTCTCTCATCGATGTTTCTAGCTCTCTATCTCTCTCCCTTCCTCTCTGTAAAAAATCAATAAAATATATATATAAAAAAAGAATACTTTAAAATCTTAAAAAAAAAATCAATGAAATATATATTTTTTTAAAAAACAGAAACCATGTAGCTACTGAGAGAAGAGCAAGGCAGTCGATGAGACGTTTACAGAGCAGTTGGAAGAGCAGGGAGACTGGGCTCCCTCCACACTTGGTCGGCAGGAACGACTCCCAGAACCAATCTGCAGCCCTGGCTCTAGCGGAGGTGTTCTCTATGCCACAGTCAGGATCTATGCTGAATGGTGGGTGCCATGGAGTCACCAATGGTTTTATTTTCTCTTTTTTTTTTTTCTAAACAAATCTTGTATACCTCATGCAACAGAACATTACACTCCAATGTAAAACACTACACTT